AGACGATAAAGCCGATAATTAAAATGAGGTCGATAGGTTTAATTTATCGTGCGATTAATTGATTTATCGTTTATCACGACAGGCCTAAGTAGAAGATTTATTTATGATAAATTGCATCTGAACATGTCAAAGTTTAGCACTTTTGTCATTTCTATGCATATTTTTAATTGGTTTTAAAGGACAGCACATTTCTAGGTTATTGAAACAACAACTGAGTCACAGCTTAACACATCTAACAGATACAGAAAGACAAACAGGTGTCTGTTTTTAGATTAACTTTAAAGGAGCGTATTGGTTGTTTTATCTTGGAGAGCGTGACATCATGTGCAAAGGGTCAGTAATGGTAACTTGTCAGGCAGCTCTCGCCGTAGTCTAAAGCCAAGTTCATTAATGTTTAATCCCAACAAGAATGATGTATAGATGTAAAAGCCGCAGAGAGAACAGAGAACTGGTGGTGATCAGCAGCCTCTTGTTTTTTTTTTTTTTTTCCTCTTTCTTTGAGTCCCTGATCCTTTTCCCCTTGTTTTGATTTATTTTGGTCTCTGTTTCATGCTGTTCCTCTTTGGCACGCCATAATTCAGCTTCTCCAAGGCAAGCTTTGCTTTTGTTTTTAGTAAATTAGCACAAAATCTGCGGCGCGCGCACACATCTACACAGAACGTGGCGTGGCTTTAAAGCCACAGATGGCCTGTCAGAGGGGAGTGTATGGGTATTTTCAAACCATGATGGGAAAACGTAGAGAGAAAGAAAGAAAGGTGTGTGTGTGTGTATGTGTGTGTGTTTGGCTTTAGAGGTCTATGAATAGCGACAGTGAGGAAAAGGCTGTAATTCAGTTCTCCGGCTGCAGCCATCAGCACAAACACAGGGTGAGAAGAATGGAGCCTTGTTGGAGAGGCTTTCTATTACACAATCTGCTGCTAGGAGCCCTGCAAGGCATCACACACTATGTGGATGGAGTGCATGATGCTGTTCGCTTCTCTGGAAGAGTCGGAGATGATGAGCGGCGCTGTGAGTGTCGCTTAGAGGAGTGAGCATCTTACATTGTCGGCCACCTGGTTGGCTTTGGCGAGAAATCGCCTGATTGCTCCGCCACTCTTTCTCTGCAAAGGGATCTAAAGTTCCTGGAGTATGTGGCAATCAGATGTTTAGTTGTGAGCAGCTTTGGAGTGGTCCAGTCCGGATGTAATTGGTGCTCACACCAGCAGTGGATTGGTGTAATTCAGGGGTGCCAAACTCATTTTCGTTTTGGGTCAAATCAAGGTCATGAAAGCTCTTAAAGGGCTGGTTGTGCCAGAATGTATTGATAAAACCTGTTCACAAACTGCTAAAATATCAATTAATTCTTAATATTAAATATTATTGAACATCTTTTCAGTCCCTCAATGATTTCATGATTCTTTTTGTGATTTTTTGCTATAAAAGTCAAAGTGTTTGTGGCATTAATTTAAAAATATTTGCTCTTATTAATGACATTAAATGGGACTTTTTATTACTCGCTGAATAGATCCTGGACTATAATCAGACATCATTTAAGGCCGATGCAGCTGTTTAGTACAAGTAACAAAGTTTTTGACAGTTTTTGAGAAAAATCTTAAACAAACTTTCCAATTATTAGCGCAAAAATGTGCAGGGATTAGTTGATTTTCTGTGAATTTCGACAATAATTCTCAAGAAACTGGAGGGACTGATTGATGTAATTTAGCAGTAAACTGATAAGAACTGCATTGATTTGATTGATAAAATATTTAAGCACATTTTGTTTAGTAACAAAAAAGTTGTTATCCGTTTATGTTTATAATATTGTCTTTTTAGATAATCTGTAAGTCAAACTAATGTCTTTTTCATTAACATTAATGAACACAAGCTCCTTTATCCTGCTGAAAAGTTACTCTTAAGCTATTTTTGTCTCATTTCAAGTGTATGAAAATATTTTTGCTAAAAACCAAACCAACAATGATTGGTAAGATTTGCTTTTAGTCATGAATTCAATCAGTCATTTTTCTTTTTTTTTTTTTACTCAGTCCCTGTTTGGGGATCTGATAGTTCTGATGCCTTTTTCTTTGAATTTCAACAAAATAAACTTTTTACATTACTTCAATTACATCATATATGGTTGATTTTTGACTTAAACATTTTAAGAAAAAGAAACTACCACTCGTTCATGTTCATGAGATGATTATCCAAAGAAGGATTCTTCATAAAATCAACACCATCCTCTTCATGAAACTGTCTTGACCAAACAGAGCATCTTCAGTCAGAGGCTTCTTCAGGTTTGTTGGAATGCAGACTGCTACAGGAGATCATTTTGTCTACACTAACTCTTTGAAGAATCTGAATTATTGAGCTACATCAACATTTAATTTCCCTGTGGGATCAATGAAGTATTTTTGAATTTGAATCACCTGCTCTGTCAGAAATACCCTGAATTCACCTGGATGACGTTTCGTCTCACTCAGATCGAGATGCAGCGTTGAGCCTCTGCTCCGTCTCTCACCTGGGTGTGAAAGTGAAACAGAAATTACACTCAGCACTGTTAAATATATCCATTAACTCTGCGGACGCGCCTGTTCTTCTCTTGATATAAGTGGTTCAGGTGAGGATATCTTTGCTCCTCCAAGCAGGATTCATGCTAATGTGTTGCTGCTATTAATAGATGCTCCATCTTTCCTCTGAACACCTGACTCACCTCTGTGATGCAGCACGGACTATCACTTCCTTCTCACTCTTCTTTCCTTTTGTCTTGCTCCTCTTCATCACTCTCTCTTACTTATCATTTGTCTCCACATTTCTCTCTGTTTTTCCTCCCCCTGTCCTTTTGCTCTACATTTTATCTCCTCCCTCCTGTCATGGACGGCCAGACGAAGCGGCGCAGCGCTGCCTGCTAACCAGCGGAGGCCAACACACTCTTGAATGTTTGCGACGCTGATTTCAGAGCGTTTATTTAGCGGGGAGTGTGTTGCAGGAGCAGCTGTTTATCAACCTGTCTCTGCTGGTGTTACTCATGAATCCTCCTCCATTCCCCGTCCCATAACTCAGGTTTCCTCGAACTCACCTTGGCTACTTTCAGCTGCATCACTTTTTTTTTTTTTTTTTTTTTTTAAATCAGTGCATGTTTGAGTTCATGTCTGCCTCTATTTGCAGCAGCCTAATTAATGTAATCCATCTCACTTAGCTGTGACAAGGCCTCTCCTCTTTTCTTTTTTGCTCATCCGTTTCATTCTCCTTTGTTTTTCAATTTTTTCTCTGCTTTCTTACTTATATCCCAGGTTTTATGCGGCAAAACGCGTATCCGTTATTACCTGAACTCACCTGGGATCAGCGCTGAAGCAGAAAAAGTTAAATTCAGCTAATAAATATTCATGAATCTCCGCCTGAATGTGCTGAGATAAGGACAAAATTACGATCTCTCAAAGTAAGAAAAGCAGAGTCGACACAAAGTTGAAGAAGAAAGTACACTCTGGAAGATTAAACTAAGAAGACACTCAATTAACCGATCCCAATCGATTAACATCGTTTGTTTTGGCAGTTCAAGTTGGGAAAATAACGGCAACAATCTCAGAGAAGCAACTGCTACATCAATCTGAGAAGGGTTAAGAGGCCATTTACAAACAATTACACGTTATAGTTTGAGGAACTTTTTCCTTTTGCACTCACTGCAAAAACACAAAATCTTACTAAGTATTTTTGGTCCAGCTTTTCGTGCAAATATCATCGTACACTTGAAATAAGACTAACTAACTTAAAAGGAACTTTTCAGCAATATGTAGAGGCTTGTTTTAAGTTTACCTTTTGACCTTTATTGATGAAAAAGTTCTTGTTTCATTGGCAGATCATTTAACTTATAACACGGGAAAAATATCATGTTAAAAGTGCAATAATCTGCCAGTGGAACTAGTACTTTTTCATCAATATTAAGGAATTATTTACTTAAAACAAGCCTCTAAATCTTCCTAAAAGTCACTTTTTAGGTAGATGCAGATAAAAACTACATTTTAGCTTGGAGATTCGGAGACATGTCAGTAGTTCATAGAATAAAAGAACAATGTTCATTTTACTCAAACATAAACCTATAAAGAGTAAAATCAGAGAAATTGATCATTTTAAGAGGTCTTTTTTCCCCCAGAGCCGTATATAGCATTTGTATAATATCTTAAGTTAGCGTAGTTACCTGATTGTGCTTTAAATGCCTGGAAAATACATGATACTGGCCCTTTAAGAGTGTAAAATTGAAGCAACGTGTACTGTAGAGTTATAGAAATATTTATCTGCAATGTTTTGCTGTATTTACACATTTTATCTGTGGTCTTGTTTCTTTCAGTCAGGCTCCAGTGCAGCTCCTCCACAGGTGGAACCCTCCACTTCCACCTCCTCTTCCTCCACCTCCTCTTCCTCCACTGCCACAAAGGTGGAGGAGAAGAAGCTTTTATCTAAGGACTCCATCCTGTCTCTGTATGGCAGCAGCTCAGTGGGCAGTCAGCCGCAGAGCCAGCCGCAGCCGGCTGCTGCAGGACCAGGTATCAGCCACCATCCATTTTTAATAACAGTTGTTATCCAGGTTCAGCCAGCTGACTTTTATTGTTTCTCTCTGCAGCCCAAAGCTCCAGCAGAGACACTTTTTGCACTTGCATCGAGTTTTACGGGATTTATAACCATTTCCTCTGAACTGTGGCTGCATTTATAGGGGCTCGGTATATGATCTGTTAAACTACGGTTCTTACTGCAAATGGAAGTTGTTGGAATACGAACCCTTTTGGTGTTATATTTGCCTCTAAGCTGCACAACCTCTGCAGGGGTTTATTGTTGCAGACAGGAGCAAATCCCACTTTATCTGTGAGCAGCTACCTATAAGGCCTTACTTTATACTAAATATGGGCGTGTTTTCACCCAAAGCTCCTTCTGCATCTAACTGGGAGCAGCAGATGAAGCTCCTGTTAATTAATGAACATAGCAGCAGCTCCTAAAGCTGTGATTTTATTTAGTTTGGTTCTTTTTTGCGGAAGCGAACTCGCAGAAACTTCAAGGCTTTTTAGTGGGTGTGTCATCCTTCATGGCAGCAGCATTGTGCTAAAATGAAAAATGTTTAATTTGAGGACATTTATATGTCGAGAAAAGAAATTACATATTAAGAAAAATACGTTTTTATTGCATTTATTGGTGCCTTTTTAATATGATGCTTTCCCTTTGGTAGATTCGGTTCGTGTCAATCAACTTGATTACTTTTGTGGAGCAAAACAATTTTGTTTGTACTGTTTTGGCTTTGAAGTTTAACTTGAATGAAAGTTTAAAGGTCATTTTGATTTTGTAAAATGGGGGGGGCTGGTTGACCTTTTGAACTTTCAAGAATATCTTCAAAGACAAAGCAGTACAAACAAAAATATTTTGCTGCACAAAAGTAGCACAAATGTTTGAGACCAGTCCCGTTAGATTTGAAGAAGGTGGGGTTTGATTCGCAGCTTTCTCAGCGAGGACGTGTGTGTTTATTCAGTGAAGAAAAGGTGCTGCACGTCTGCACACTGTTGCACTCCAGGAGTGATGCGTGTTGAAAATGAGAGAGGACAGTGGCAGATGAAAGGTAAGCGTGCAGAAATGCTGCCAACTCCAGTCCCTGCTGCATTCAGCGGCGGCGCGGCGCAGCATCGGCGTGAGCAGAGCGCAGCGTCTGCAGATTCATCTCACACTTATTAGATGTGAAGCGTCAGCAGCGTTTGTGTTTGTGCTGCGTGGGCGGCGCTCCTACTGTACACACGGCACAAGCAGCGAGCACGGCGGCGGCGGTTTGGAGTCTGCAGATCCAGAGTGGAGGCCATGTTGATTATTGATTATTGAGCTACAATGATGGGGAGATGATTAGGATTGGAAATGGAGACGAAGGGAGTTTAATGATGCTTCATTCTGAATGAGAGGAATGAGACGCTCCATCCATCCATCCATATATCCATACATAAGTTAACCTTAAAAATGTGTTAAAATGTTTGAATTTTACCATGATCTTAAATAACTGGATCTTTTGTGTTTGTGTCGTTTTGGCCCAGCAGGATTGTACCTGGGCCAGCCTCAGGTGCAGTTCAACCCACCGGGTTTCCCTCCAGCGATGGGAGGAAGCGTCCCAACCACGGCCATGACGGGCGGCGGTCCGCCGATGTCCGGCGTGACGCTGCCAAACGGCGGCTACATGGGAGGGATGCCGGCCAGCCAAGGACAGAACCTCTACAACATGCAGCCGCAGGCACAGTGGAACATGAGCCAGGTAACCCATAAGACATTAATCCAGGTTCCCTCTGTGTTTTGGTGGACTAGAGAGCACACCTTTGCTGTTTTAGTAGTTTAAGTCTCATAAATCCGGTGTCACAGTTTGGCCATGCTTGTCCTAGCAGGTGATGTATGGCCCTGTGTTGTGTTGTCCTCCCTTTTCTCTAAAGCTCAGGACTTATTCTCCTCACCAGCTCCTCCTCCACAGCAGCAGAAGCTCTAATCTGCTGTTTTTAATCCTTATGTGCACAGTTGGAAAGTTACAATCTAATTTTAGTTAACTGACATATCATTTTTTCTATATGGGATTTGCTTGCTAGAGTCTGTAAATCTTTTTACCTCATCTTGAAAACAGTATGACAGATATTTTTATTAGAAATGTTGTATTATGCAGATGTAGAAAAAACATACCTCTGTTTACATGTCACTGTACGAATGGTAAGTAATTGTCTTTGAAGTCTTCGAGCTTCCCTTTCACCATAAAAGTCAGGTTTTGCTTTGCCAGCTAGTTTGATCTGTTCGTTTATCTTTCTGGGTTCTTCCAGTGTTGTTTCTACTTTTAAATTGGACAAAATTTAGATTTTTTCCAAAGAAAAGGCAGTCTGTGAAGCTGAAATATCTCAAAGCAAAGCTACCTGACATGCTATTGGCTAGCTTTTGCAAATCCAGAAGCGACATTAATTTTTCTTGTCGCTGATTGGATGCTAAGACAGTTTCCACTCTGTGTATTAACGCATATTAAGGTATAATTTGTGCTTGAATTATTAATAAAGTTTAGTTAATAGACTTTTTAGAGGGCGCATCAAGTATTTGCAGATTCCCCCTTCACCACTCAGCTCCTCTAGACTAGTGGCAGCAAAAATTAGCAACACCTGTTGGAACTGCTGAGCTCATCATCGGAGCTACTTCTCAGTGCAACGCCAATAAAAACAGTCATAAACAGCATAAAAGAGAAACATTGTGATTACGTGATGAAGGCAGAGTGTTGGAAAAAGCAGGAGCTTCTTAAAGAGACAGAAGCCCAATTTCAAGATGTCATATTACAAAATCAACAATAAATGAAAGTAACAGTTACTCAAATGTACTATAAAATAATAACCCATAAGTGAAACTTGTTTCAACAGAACAAAGATCCCAAACAAATTCAAACTAGTTTTGGACTGAATAAAGCAGGCTAATGTCGTTTATGGCTTTAGTTAGGACTCATTTAACCAAATATTAAATATTGTGCTTTAAATTTTAAAGTTGACTCACATGAGTTTATATTCCATAATCAATAACACTCAACTTAATGTAGGAGTCAGTAAACGTGAGTAAAGTTGTTAATCAAGGCAGTAATAGCCGTGTGTGACAGTGATAATTTCATAGTTTAATGTTTGTAATGATAATTTAGAAGTGAAATGATGAAGTGTCAGCATGAAGTGAAGGTTTAAATCAGATCCTCGGATGAAGAGCCGGTTTCCGTCCATTCGCTGGAAGCGAACTGTCGGAGCTGGCAGCTGGGGAAGGAAGATAACCAACACAGACTGACAAAAACTGGGTTTCAGCAGCTCTTTGTTGCCTGCTGTAATGAGCTGTACGTTTAGTTAGAGCTGTGGAAGCTGTTAAGAAAAAAAAAGACAGAACTTCAGAGAAATAAGGAAGCTCTGGCATTCCTATGAGATTGTTTACCTGGCAGCTTTTCAGTCCACTTTGGACCAGATGTTCAGCAAATCTAGAGTCTGCTGCTGGTAAATAACGCTTCCAATGAAAACCTGAGTACAAAAAACCTTCGTTTTGACACCAGCTCTGCCATAAGATGCTTTTCTTGTTGCTTTCTCTCCCCAACCTCACCTTTGTGATGAGGCCGCACAGAAACACATATAGCTGTCAAACTAGTTCTCACAGAACTACATGTACAGGTGTGCAGGTAGGGATATATGTGTGTGTGCTACTTGTGCAGGGGATGTCAGAGAACACACACACACACATACCTACGGTGCTCAGGTGAGCAGATAAGTGAGCCTGCAGCGAGGAACATTTATAATAGATGAGACAGGATAAAAGGTGGATGTTGAATGGGGAGTAGGCATCGGCCGTTTTGAGCGTCTCACACGACGACGACAGTAAATATGTCACAGTAGCTGCTTCTCCATTACAAATGTGTGAAAATCTGTTTTCTTTTAATGTTAAAAAAATTGGCAATTGCAGAGCTTCCATGAAATAAGAAACTAAATTAAAACCACGTGAATAAGTTTAAGTCATTAAAAAAATCCACCAACTACTTCCTGTTCATCTTCTTCATAGTTTGCGCCAGTGGCAACATCCGGTTGTGACTGTGACTCGTGTGATGCGAAAACAATTGTCCATTCATTGTTCTGATCTTTACAGAATAACACAAGTAGAGCAAGCTGACTCTGTTAGGTAAAAGCAACCCATATCCGATTTTTATTTTTTTTTTACGGCAGTTTGAATGGCCCTTTCTAATCTTTTCACTCTTCAAAAAATCCAATTTGTTCCACCTTCATATGTGGAATTAAATCAGATATCTGATAGCTTTCAAAGTATCTGCAGTCTGAACAGTCATGTTGCATTTTATCCGCCTTTTACATCGTTAACGTCAGATATGCGTCATAATTCTGCACATAAACGATGGCTGAAGCAAACCGTTCCTTCGTCTTGCTGCAATCTCCTGGCAACGTCTGCTTTCATTGCTCAGCAACTTTAAAATCCATTCTTACTTCTGTAAGCAGAGAAGTGTAATGTCTGTTTTTCTGAGCCTGGTTGAAATTGAGCTCAATGGAAGAAATCCCAGACAGAAAACTGAAGGGAGATGAGAATCAAACAGAACCATGTAAAAAGGCAAAGCCAATCTATAAATCAGTTTATCTAGATTTTTACACTTAACACTGCCACTCATTAGTTTGTTTAAATAAAATTTTATTAACATTTGCTGCATTTCCATTACAAATATGAGCAAAACTTTCTCTTCATTCTGCTAATGTAAAAAATTATTTTATTCAATAAAAATTGACATTTCTATTTCATAAAAAATTTAAATCAAATGTGAATTCATACGTTAAGTCATTAAAAAACATCCTCCAACTACTTTCTGTTGTTCTTTGTGGTTTTCGCCAGTAGTAACATCCGGTTGTTGATCATGTGACTCGTGTTTCCGTTGCAGTTTTATGAAATAAACTAATTTCGATACAGCAAAAGAAAACACCTCATCCTGAAATGTTTTGACAAAAAAAAAAGAAATTATAAATTGACATATTTCCATCGAAATGTCAAATTACACAATTTTAGGCTCAATGTAAACACAACTAACGACAGACTTCATTGTAGTTATTATATTCTTAATGATGTATAATGTTAGCAACAGGTTGAATAAAAGGTGTTTTTAATATCATCATACTGAGATATTTCTTACTTGACCCACACCGGCCTAGTCCATATCCACAGGGAAATGGAGTCGACCTTTACGGTATTGGTGTTTTTAGAACCTGTTTGTTCTTAAGGAGTAAAAAAACCTGAATTTTCTCTGGTGGTTTTTTTTTTTTTTTTTCCCCCACTATCACAGCAAATGTCTAGCATGGGTTTGGGTGGCGGAGGACCGGCGGCCGCTGCGCCTGCGACCGGTTGGTCCGCTTCTCCAGCGCCAGCTTCTGGCCAAACCCTCAGCACTCAGCTGTGGAAGTAACCCGGACCCAGTCCAGAGGATGCCGTGGGGTGGTGGGGCAACAGACTGATTTACTCTCCTGTGTGCACAACGTTGCTACTAATAATGATTGAACAACTTAAAAAAGAAATTAAGAAAGATCGGCAGCTGTGTTCCCCTTCTTTCCAAATGTTCCTCCTCTGATCCGTCTCCTTTTGTTGTCATTGTCTGAAAAGAGACACAACAGAGTAACAAGCAGGAAGCTGATAACGCTTACATAAGCCTTTATCATTACAGAAACGTAGAGTTAGTGAATCGTGGTTCAGTACCTACAGTAGATATGGATATCTTGTTGTTGGTCTATGCTTCCCGCCTCGCCCTGTCCTCTGTAACGTACATTGAACTCTCTCCTCTCTCTCCTGACTCCCTCTGTTGAGCCAACAGAAGCACACAGCAGATACTTGTCTGAGCAGTACTGCATTTCTATGAAAAATTATAAGAAACTCCTGCATTTTCAAAGAAGAGGGGAAAAAGTCTCAGCTTGATGGGCTTTTCTGTGAGGTTCTACTGCAGGTTTATACTTTAAATGTCATTTTCCACATATAGTCACAGATTTTAACCATTTCCATTGTAAAATAATTAAAATAAAGCACTCAACTGAAGCAATATTACAATCACTGCAGGTTCTGTTTGATTATTTAGTGAGCGAATCCTCCTGTGCCCGAATATATCAGTGAACATAAGAGCAACTCAGCAGTTCTTTGATATTGATTTTGATTTTCACTTCAAGAACAAAATAAAACATTTGCACTTCTTGGAGCTCCTTGCAGCTATAGAGGAAAAACGTTTCCACAATTTAAGACTTAAGAAGGTAAGTAGCATCTCGGTGCTGCTAATGAAAATATGCTTAAAGGTGACCTATTATGCTCTAGGGTTAGGGTTAGGGTTATTACATTTTTTGCACAAAATCATTCTTGGATAATGAGATTTTAGTCTGGTTAGTTCTGCCTATGAGCTGTTTTAGGGCGTCTTGTCACTTTAAATTTAAATAAGCTGTTGCTGGCCACAACCTGGAACTGAAATGGCTGCAAACAGATTCGCAATTATACAACCATACAGCTTTATACATCTTTGTACAAAGATACAGTTTTGTATCTTTGTACATCTTTGATTATGCAAAGAAATAAAGAAAGTTAATTTCATAAAATAAAGAAAGTTATGTTCAACCCTGGCCATCCTCTTCATGAGACTGTCATAAGAAAACAGGGTATCTTCAGGCTTCTTCAGATTTGTTGTAATACAGACGGCTACAGCAAGATCTTTCCTGCCAACGGCATTTAATAACTCTTTGAAGAAACTGAATTAATGAGCTACAGCAACATTTATTTTCCCTTTGGGATCAATAAAGTTTTTCTGAATTGAATTGAAAAACAGAAGTAGAGATACCTGTTACAGGAAGTGGTTTCTAGTAAACCAACAATAAAACATTTGTCTTTTCCAGCACCAAATGTGGCGGAACTCAGATCGGGGTTGCTAGGTAACGGGCTGGCCTTCACTGGGGTTGCTAGGTAACGAGCAGTGCCTGCTGACTTGTGACGTTACAATCCGGAGGTTTTTGAAACGGCTCATTTTCCAAACACACACACACAAAATAAAAAATAATTTATTTCCAAAAACCGGCTCGGTGGTGGTGTTTTTTTTAAACATTTGGATTCTTTTTAGAACCAAATAGAAATACAAAGACATTCAAAATGTGAATTTTGCGTAATATGTCGCCTTTAAAGTTCATGGCAGCGCAGTAAGAAAAGGACATAGTTTAGACAGAAGCCTCTCGCAGATCTGGTGGAGTTCTGTCCAAATGTTTGTTTCAAAGCCTCTGAAACCGATCACTGTTTGTTTTGATAAGGTGACAAATGAGCTTTTAGTCCGTCCCAGGAGACAGCAGGGTCTTTAGCAGGGTCGTAATCTGTGAGAGAGGTGTGTACCTCGTCGCAGACTAAAACTGCTGGTGCTTTAAAACCTCAAAATGTTGATGTTACATTTTAACTGCTGAGCCATCCACAGTTCCTCTAGGTGTTTCAGGTCGCTTCATCTGTGATTTTCTAAAAAATAAAATAAAATTAGTTTGTTGTTAAAATGAGCCATTTTTCTCCTCCACAATCCTTGCTGAAATCGCAGACCACGGGGCGTATCTCCAGCTGTGTTGTTGTCCTGGTAACTCAGATCCAGCTGAAACTTTTCTGATATTCAGAACCGGTGCGACCCTGCAGCGTTTCGTCCCCAGTAAGCGATCTCTCTGCCATCTTTATTGTGGTGCTTTTTGTCGTGTGTGGTGCAAGAGAAACAGTTTGCTACAAATAAACCTGGATGACCAATCAGAGGCTGAAAAGTAGGACCTGTATGAAACTCTTGGATGGGTCCTGTCATTATCCATTTCTGCCATGCAATAACTGCTGCACTCTATGTGAACATTACAATAAAATTAAAGTCCTCCAGGTTTATTTGTGGTCTGATTAATATTTCTGGTGCCTAAGTGCAGAGAAACGGTGAATTCTGTGATCAAAAACAAAGATGTAGTGGAAGGATCCTGTATTTATCTCTGTCTGACCTTCAACTCTAGTGCTGAATTGTTTGCTCCTTTTTTGTTCTTTCAAATTTAATGAGGTTCAATTTGAATAAAGACTCTGAAATCCTAAACTTTTTACTGTCTTTATTTTTCTTCCTCATCTTCTCATCTAACTTTTTCAGTCCTAAAGCAGGAAGTTATTGTCAGCTATTCCAAAAATTCAAGTTTTCTGTTTTTAATCTTACTGTGCTTCATGATTGAAAGAAACATTTGACCCGAAATGATCATTTGAGTCATTTGATGGGAAATCCAGAAGAACAGACATGAATTGGAATGAAAGGAACTCGCTTTGAGACGATGGGATTGGATAAAAATCCCATTTTTACCGTATAAAACTCAGGGTTCCTTGGGGCGGCAGCTCATTATTTTATTTTTATTTATATAGCGCCTGACCTTGGTACATGTTTACTACCCAAACAGGTGGACAATAATACACCGGACAGCTTTCTATAGAAACACATCTGCAGCTATATTGAATCACTAAATGCAGCAATTATGTTGCTTTGCAAAAAGGAGACATTTATGGAAAAACTGAATCTACTGGTTTTATAAAACACCTTAAAAACTGAATCCTAATCGTCATGGGTGTAAGTTTTGGTAATCTATGATAGATTTTTGTTCTTTTTTCCCCACATTTGATCTTCTATGTACCTATAATCAAGACATTTTTGGACATTGTGATAATGCAAATTAAATCTAAGAAAAATCATCATGTTGTAACTCAGACACAATATAGAGGCTGTAAAAATTCCAGAAATAAAAATAAAATAGACAATACATAACTAATTAAATTAAAGATAAATGTACGGAACTATTTAACTGCCAGACCTAATTAGACAATTCCATTAAAACATGCAGAATATATCAATCCAATGTAGGTTTGGTGATAATGAAGTTATTTTCCACTTTGTTCATCTGTTAAATAACATAATATTGGGTTTATATGTGTGGATATTTTTTTCTGAATTAAAAAAAGTCTGCGCAAACATCTTCCCAGAGTAGTGATTGCTCATTCTCCAGACGGTGTAACTGAGCGTGTTTTATTAATATGTGCTTTGAAAACAGACAACAGAGTCACATATTATCAATCTGACCTCTTTATATCGCCGTCCAACAGTTAGTTTGACAACACGATGAATCAAAGTGACACGCATGGCACTTCTCAGTTCAGCAGCACAATGTTTCACATTTATACGTTTTGTTGTTACATCAGCAGGATGTGAATGGAAGAAAAAAGAAAAGTCCAGGATGTCGCAGCTCTTTTTAGACGAGTCCAGTTCTCGCAAAAGCAGCATTTGGATGGACGGCAGAGTCATGAATCATGCAGACCCTCAGAGTTTTTGTCCGCTGTGCGGATCGTCTCCGCCCGTTCTGGGCAGAAAGCAGGTCGCTGTCGCTCGCTCCAAAGCTGAAAGTGTGACGGCGTCACACCTCGATGTCCACGGTGTCTTTTTTGAGCTTGGGCTCGTTGGCGAGGTGCGGTTTCTCTGTGCGAGTGTGCCAAACCAGAACCTGCAGGTGGAAGAAAACAAGGCAATGAGAGTGTTTTAATTACCTGGGAACAATGTTGCCACCTTCCTAAGAGTATTTTTATGGAAAAAAAAGTGATTTTTGCAACCCCCCGAAATAACCCCTTTGATCTCAGAGATCAGTTTATTTAATTCTGACTTTTTTCCTCAGAATTTTGATTTTTTTTCCTCAGAATTCTATTTTCTGACTGCTTTTCCCAGAATTCTGACTATAATCTTAGAATTATGACTTTTCAAAATCAGAACTGTCTTTCTCAAAATTCTGGCTTTTTTTTTTTTTTTTAGATTTCTGACTTTAATCCCACAAGATTAAATCAGATTTATGAGGAAAAAAAGTCAACGCTTTTTCAATGGCCCTATCTTTGAGGAGATATTGTCACTTCCTGCCTCAGATATCCGACTCGCTAACAGATGCCTTGATGTTGAATAATCCTGCCATGTTGGCCCATGATGAGTGAATGAAAACTTTTGACCAGAACCCAACACACCTCTGATAATAGAATAAAGTGTTTTTTGTTTTACATAAATTTCACAGATCTGTCTCTTTGTGTTCAACGAAAAGCTAGAAACTCTCCTTTCCTCTGTTTTATTAGATCAAAATACAAAAAGATCCAAATCCCTGAAAACGGCATGTTTCTGTGACGATATTACCAAGGAGACAGCATAAAGTTAGTATATTCTTGCAGTTGTATATTTTCCACTCTGAGAACAAATGTTTTTGAACCAGAGACTCTCTTTCTTTCCTGATGTGATGATGAAACTCCGGATCTGTCAAATAAAAGACGCGCAACGCAGACAGCATTGTATCAGAGGAAGTGCAGCAGCGGGAAACAGTCTGACACCTCCTGAAACGGATCAAATCAAAAACTAACCACACTTGTTTGCAACCATTTTCACAGCAATTCATTGGTGAGAAACACTGGAGAGTTTCTGAGTTTCACTCAGCCTGGATTCAAATCTGCATTTTTTTCTTTCCTAAGCTATAACTAATGAGCCTATAAAAGTGCAGAGATTCACACAGGCGTGATTTATTGCAGGCTGCGGACACTGATGCTGTCTGTTCTGTGGGCTTCTTCAGGTGGAACGTGTCACTTCCTGCTCTCTCTGCTGCTAATTGGCCTGCTTTGCATTTCTAATGAGGCTAATGTAGCAGCTACCAAGGCGCTGATCCAGAGCAGTGGGGGGAAACGGCGTTCGGGTCGGCACATTCTGCAGTCAGAGCTCGCCTGTCTAACACACACACTTCTTCTCCATTCATCACATTCACTTTTCCTCCCCCGGCTTTGCTCTCATCCTTCCTCTTCTATCTATTTCTTCCACCTTCAGGCAACATGGAGACAAAAAGCTTGGCGGTTTTTTTATTCTGCAAAGAGAGGTCACTATTTTTACTTCTCATCAAAGGGGGATTTTGTAGGAAAAACCTTTTCCCTTCAAGATGACATGCGTTCTGGTAAATTGCACTTCCAGCTTCAATTTTACTCTGAACAACTTCTGTGAAAAACTATTTAAATTAGCTCACACATTCCTCCTGTTTTTACTGGTTTCTCCCCACATTTAAATGTTTCAGATTATCACCAAGGAAAATCTGAGTAAAACTAAAAGTGGTTTGATGAAGGGCCTAACAGGGCCGGCCCAAGCCTCCATGGAGCCCTAAGCGACTGCTTCGTTTGCTTATGCCTTGGGCCGGCCAAGGGGCCTAATCTACTTGGACCTATATTAAAAATAATAAATTCTCCCTAACATCATGGTATACCTAAAACTCATTTGGCGTATTTTTAGCTTCACCTTGTTCAAATTCTGTTAAGAAATAAGAAAAAAATAATAATTTTGAGACTTTTTGCTGTCCAATTATTAATCAGCTAATCTAGAAAAATTGCAGATTAACACTACACTGTATTAATGTTATGTTAAGCAGATAGGCCTGAAATTAATTGTCAGAATAAGTGATAATTGAACCTATAATCATTGGATTCAGCCCTTGTTTTAATGTTGTTGACCCCTTAATTACTTGACTCATCAGAATAATCGATTAATCGTCAGAATAAGTGATAATTTAATCAATAATCATTAGTCTCAGCCCTTGTTTTATTGCTGTGTGATCCCTGCTGATTCCAGCATCTTCAGTCTCAGTTACAGTGGAGTAAAATGTCCCCTGACGTTGACCACATCTAATCCGTAATTTGGAAGAGCACTCAAGCTGTTTTGCGGATCAGATCGTCCAGACCCGACCAGCTACTGGCCACAGATCTATTTAGCTCCACCAGTGGAATAAAAATGAGACTTAGCAGCAAACAGAGACACCGACAGGAGGACAGACTCGCATGGCAGCAGAACTCCTCTCCCTCTTTTCTTTTCACCCTTTCTTTATCTCCTTCCTCTCCATCCCTGCTCAAGCTTCTGCACCTCTCCATCTCCTCTCCGTCCTGTGGGATCATCTGTCTCCATCTGTTCCTGCCTGCCCCCCTCCTTTCTTGTCCTGTCACTGCTGTCTGTTGCCATTACTGTCCCGCTCTAACTACATCGCGGCTCTTGTCAGCCGTCTCCCGGACACCGACCCGGCCGTCAGATGAGCATCACTGCCCGACAGCGTCAAGGTCGGGCTCAAGGCTCTGTGATCGGAACCCAGGTAGCTCAGAGCTAGCGTGTTGTAGCAGCAGGGAGCAGCGCCATGTTACTGGAGTCACACAGTTTAAAATGCTAAAAACGATTTCAGAGAAACAACTACGCTGAAGAACCAAAACCTTTTTGTATCTGAGGAAGTTTCCTGGAACTGCTTTGATGTTTCTGTTTATTAAATAATGTAACTCGTTTGCTGGACATTTAATGCTTTTACGTGAAAACTTTTAGATTCAATTCAGAAATTATTCAGGCATCAAAAAGGCCAATAAGTTCAAGAGATTCAGGCCCAAATCAGTAGACATAAAACTTTGGCTAGGATCCATCCATCCATCCATCCATCCATCCATCCATCCATCCATCCATCCATCCATCCATCCATCCATCCATCCATCCATCCATCCATACATACATACATACATACATACATACATACATCCATCCATACATCCATACATACATACATACATAATTGTACTTTACTGATTAATTAAAGAATCACATAGTTCATTTTAACAGCGGGGTGATGGATGTTTTGTCAACCAGACGTTTTTAAAGTGTAAAGACACTAAAAACAGAATTACTTCAATTCATCTGTTATTTAGTGTAGATCAGGATTCACTATCAGTGTTTCTGGACCTCTGAATAAATAATAATAGCAGGTGTTACCTTACATGTATACACAAATGATGTCGTGCTGTTTTATCTGTGATCTGATGAATGCATCCCTCCTGTGTGCTAATGACTCGTTGTGTTATTAGCCTGTATTAGACTCAGCAGTATGGCATCTCCGCGATGCTTTCAGCAGCCAGCTGGAAACGATGATCCAGCAGCTCCAGGGGTCTTTATTCTATCCCCAGCAGGAAACGTTTACTGGTAACCACCCAGGAATTTGCAGTGTGTCCTGCTCGCGTACGGCGAACCAGGAAATTTTGATTTTCCGTTTTGTGATTGGTGGTGAAAAGGGCTGCCTCCTGTAGATTGTGGAAGGACAGGTGCTGGTAAAGGAGGATGGAGAGAGAAACAAGGTGATGAACCCTTTTCCTCTCTTAAAACAGCAATCCCTGCACATTTAGTTCTCTTTTGGCAGTGAACTCCTCTCCCTGAATGGGTGATTAAAGCTACTGTACTTAAATTTGACAAAGTTTTTACGTAAAACCTGTGAAATATCAAGTCCTCCACCTTCTGCTACTTGCACTGCTATTGTCTGAAGAAATGCACAGCTTCTGATTAAAAACAACCAATCAGAGCCAGGAGGCGGGTCTTAGCGCTGTCTATCAAGTTTGACGCGTATTGTTGATGTACAGCATCTGGCTGTAATTTCCCTTTAAAGGAGTAAGGTTGTGTGAAAATGTTAGCTTTTCCTTGGAGTTTGAAGTAAGACTTTGAATAAGCAATGAAATATCCTGAGAAATCCAGAATTTTCTGTAATCTCCCAGCATCAGCACACATTTGGAGCAGCAGCAGGCAGTCATCACGTTTGTCTCATTTGTTGCTTGAAAGAAAAAAAAAAAAGCCATAATGGGATCCATTTCTCACAAACAGTCCTGTAAGTCAGCTCTGTGATGGCTGTCAAGAGGATGAGTGGCCTTATAAAGCCAAGTGCCAACAGGGCCTGTGGTGACTTCAGATGAACTGCATCGATCCGAGCTGTCTGAGCGCACAACAAGAATTGATGGAGCCACATTGCCATTTCTGTTCAATTCAGCCGGTGTGGGTCTATGTTTAGATTGTGCCAGTAGCTCATAGCATGACTCACGCTGTCAATAGTGAGGAGAGATGCCTAGTGGTTGGTTACCGCTGCCATTATTATGACGGCGCTTTCATAAGTGCCAACAGCGCCAGAAACATGTTAAACCTGGAGGTTTGGCAGTGACACACTTTGTTTTTTTTAAAAGATGATCAGATTGCAGACTCATTTAATGCAAAGAGAGTTATATTAGTTGGAAAAGTTAAAGCAAAAACCTGTTCTGATTGTGTTTTTGCACGGACTGCTCAGCTGACGTCACATCAGCTCAGATGAAATAACAAACGATCCGTCTGGACAGTTATTCAAGAATCCAGCAGCGGTGATAATAACCGATGCTTCCCTTTCATTTGTTATGGTTTAAGAGCCAGACCATAACACAGGTGAAAAGACAGACTTCTGCAAACACGTTACCAGTGATTACTTCAGTAATAAATCATTCATAAATCATTGATTATTCTGACGATTAATTGATTAATCGGATAAAAACATGGACACATCCTGCAGATTTTTTATTTAACCACCAAAGGTTATTTTATATATTAGAAATACACAAAAATACAAATAGACAAATAATTCCAGATCTTTTTAAAATAAGAAAATAAACATTTTATTGTCTAAAATACAATAACAACATTACTTTAGTGAATATTTGTAGAAATTTTCTAACAGGTGAAAAGGTCAGACTTTTATGCTTAGCTCAACTTTAATACAATGTAAAGCTGATCTGTTAATTATTATTTTTTGGATTACAAAATGTACTTGGTACATTTTTTTTGAGTTTGCATACTGCACTTAATGATTAATCGATAACTAAGCTGACGATTACTTAAATGAATCACGATTAATCCAATTAATCGTTTTAGCCCCATGTGTTACATATAAATATTCTCCAAATTCAATGTAAAAAGCTTAAAGATGATCCATAAATTACTAACGTTCTTTTTTTCTTATCTGGAAGAAAGTTTGCCTCAACATTTTTCCAGTATTAAATGGAAAAAGGCTTCCTGACTCCATCCGTGAGGATTCCTGACCTGCATTAACGCCCGAAATCCAAAACTGCTTTTAAAGTCTGTTGCCGTGGAAACAGAGGTTACTGACCCGTGTGCAGTTGTTCGCCTTGGGCTCCAGCTCGGAAACCTTGGTGATCTGCTTCAGGAAGTCGGACTCCTGCATCCCCGGCTGGGAGCCCCGCCTCTTGAAGAGCGCCCGCGGGTTCGCCAGGATCACCTGGAGGTTCACCGAGAAGCCTGAGGAAGAGCGAGGAGGTCAGCCATCTTGGATAAAAGGAACATCACCGGCCCGTCAGGATCACAGCAGAAAACCGTGTTCATTAACGTTCCTACGGGAAATCCAGTTACAGCGAGGCGTCGGCCGCCGTCCTGTGATAATTGTGGTTTAGATGAGACGGGGTCAAAGGGGACGATGAAGCGGCGACTGCTCCAGGGAGCAGAAACGACTGGGGAGAAATCACCAGCAGGGGTATAATTGAAGGCAGAGGAATAAATTAGATTGTGAGATTAGAGTCACAATTAAAGGAAACAAACTGAGGAAAAAAAGGCACATTTTCTTTCCACCTCTTGTGGGTGTCCAACGTGTGGCCTGGGGACCACATGTGGCCCGCGGACGGATTTTCTGTGGCCCCCAACTTCAAGTCAAAAGTGACTTTTTATTTGAGGCAATGTTATTATAAACACATTTAAAAAAAAGTTGTTGCAACTGAACATTTTTGAAACGTCAGAAAGGGTTAGTGTTTATTAATTTTAAAAAGTTGTTTGACTTTTTGTAAGAATGGAAAATGTAAAATTATTTTGCAATATTTAACTTTTTTTTGAGCTCATTTAACCATATTTCCTGCATGACAATAACTTCTGACACCATGTTTTGACACAAATTCACTCGCCCTTCACACATCAGATGTGTCAGCTGACCTCAAGGCCAGAAGTTATAATTTCACATGTGCTGATTCTCTCTCACTTAGCTTACAGACTTTAAGGCTGCGCTGTTCACTGAGATGTTTCAGTAGATTTCTTTACTTAATTCCTCCTGTAACAAGCTGTGACAAGCTGTATGCTCTGTGATATTTTGGGTTTTGGACCATGAACATAGATTGTGCTGTAAGGTGCCACTATGTGCCTGGAAAATACATGTTACTGCCCCTTTAAATAACTTTTGACTAATCTCATAAATCTGTTAGAGTTCACTGTTTTCCAACGGACTCCACAGTCACCAGATTTATCATGTTGTGGAGCATCTATCATAGATATAGGGCCAATAAATCTGACTGTGCAAAGCTGTCCTTTCTATGTGGACTAAAACCCCAAAAATTAATATTTCCAACACCTTTATGAACCAAAGACTGAAAGGAAAAAGAGTCTCTCATACCAGCATGGTGTACCTAATAAAGCGGCCGGTGATACAAAGACATCTCAAACTTTCAAATGTTTAACATCTTAAAATTATTAGACTTTCAGGTCATCTTACCTGCTGATTGTCTATAATGTTGCTAAATCAGCTCAAGCGGATTTTTTTTGTCTAAATAAATACACCAGCTTGTATAAAATGAAAGGATGTTTGATATCCAGATGCCTGAGGAAGAGGAAGACCACAGAGATGGTGAAATAAAAGAGAGAGTTGGTGAAATATAAGAACGGTGAGATGATCCACTGTGAACCCTAAACTGAAGAGCAGGAAAAAAAGAAAATAAACGATTTCATTTTGAGTGCCTGAGAAGAATTAGTTGTGTTTTATAGGGAGGGAAAGTGACTGAATCAGAAGGAGTTTGTGCGATACGCATCATAAGATGTAAACAGAAGCATCGGTTGTTTACAGTGAAACCCCAAAGGACCATCTAAAAACAAAGCTAAGCCGCCGACCACCTGCTGAGTTTAAAAAAAAGGCTTTTAATGTCCAGTTCTGATAAACAGAAAAAGGACTGATCAGATGAAAGTTAGCCACATTGAAATACTAATTAAGAATAATAAAATGAAGAGATGCAACGTAGCAAAGAATAAATAAATAAAGGATAAGATCTTATTATTGGGTATTTATTCTTTGTTCTGGCATACGCTTTGATTTATTTATCTATTTATTTACTTACTTTCTCTCTCTGTTTTCCACTTCTAGCCAAAATATGTGGGTAGCCTATTTAATAATAATGCAAATCATAAAAAAAACTAAAGTAGATTCCAACCCACAATTTAATTGTTTTTGTTGTGACACCATGTTTATTGAAATGCATTTTGCTTCCTTTGCTTTTGTTTCTTGTGTATTTTATTTTTGTTGCTTTTGTTCATTTTCTTATTCAGTTATGTATTTTGTAGATCAATACCTCTCTTTTCAAATTTTATGTAATTCAAAAATACTTTATCAATTCCAAAGGAAATGTTGTTTTAACTCATTAATTTAGATGCTTCAAAGAGTTATCAAAGATTGTGATGGCTGTTTTTTATTAGTTTTATTTTCTTATTATTTTATATAAAATATTTATAAGTTTATTTATATGTATGCATGTATTTAGTATTATTTTTATGGTTTTTTTTAATAGTTTGTGATGTTTATGTTATATACATTAACTGGTGAATAAAAATAAAGAAAAAAGATACAACAGGACTTTATCAGTCAAGTTCTAGTAAATTATTGGTAAAAGTGTATTTTCTGATTGCAGAAAATGCTGAATTATTCTGGTTAAGGTAAATAATTTATTCAGCTCCATATTTCCAGCAGAGCGTGGATGTCAAAGCTTCTGGTTCAGAGCATTACTACTACTACAGTCTATTTGTGGATATTTCTCAAAAAGCAGCTTGGCATACAGTATCAGCACAATTAGTGAATATTAATTCATGCAGATTATTGGTGGGTGGCTTCCTGCTGCAACTGGTGCATCAGCGATTAAATTCCCCCCCTCTGAGAAACATCTCTCCAGCTGCAACACTCTGCTGGGAAAGAAACCCTAAGAGAGAAATTACTAGTTACTAAGTTCTACCTTTTCTGACTGAACTTGGTGTCTTTTTTTGTTGTTAATTTTACAATATTATAAATGTAAAGTTTGTCAAAATGTGTTTGTTTGTTGTTTGGATTTATTTTGTTTGGTCAGCAAGTTGTTTCTCCAGACATTTATTGGGGTATGAAGTTCTGTTGCTGCTCTTGGCAGTTGGTGGTTACCTAGCAACCAGCAACTGACGGCTCCGCCCCCTTTTTTCTGTTGCCATCGGTAACTGTGGTATGTATTAGAATCAGCTCTGTGTATTCTTGACAAGTATTATATTTTTAACATGCTTTAAACAAATTTGATAATATACAGTGTTTCACGAGTAATTTTGCTACGTTTTGTATACATTTTAAACAATTTTAGCTACGTTTAATTTTACAAATTTTAACTGCTGCTAACTGCTCACAGGGAGATATTGCTTAGTAGTTTGCTTGGGGTTATTTATTTTATTTTATTAATGTGCTCAAGTTTCTGGTTTGAAATTAACCACCTACTTGATTTCCTGTTTGTTAGAATAAATATGGTGAACCTGAATGTGAAGTCAACCTACTGGACCTGAGACAAACAAAGAAGGGCTACATCTATACAAATCTAAACGTGTATAACACCCACAGAGTTATTAGGCCATGCTGGTGTCAGGGTTATTACTGCTCTGGGTGTGATACTGCAGGTTTGTCACAGAGATATACGATGCAGCTTAGGTGGAGCAAACAGATATGGGAGCAATTACAAGATAAACATCTTCTCACCTGGAAGCAACTGCGGTGAAACAGATCACTGCTAACCTGAAACCAGCGAGCAAATAAGATGCTGAAGCACATATTACTCCGACCAACAGCGTCTGACCCGAAGAACCAGAAACACATTAGCCTGTTTGCAGATCGGTATTTAAAACTCTACGTAAAACATTTTTTTATTCCTTTGCCTTTAACGCACTTTGAGACTTTTTCTCTCTTACGTATGTTTTAAAAATAGACAGTTACAAGCATTTTTAGATGGGGATTAAATATAAATCCATCCCCTTTCACTCTCATGATCCTAAATAAACCAGTTGCTTTTACAGAGTCCATTTGTCTGTAATTTAAATTCAGTATCAAACCTTCTGGGATCCAGATTTCAGATGCAGAAATTGGGTGGTAACAAGTGGTTAGGTGCTCCAAAAATGTGGAGATTTTCTTTGCAGTTTGCCACAAAACAACGCAAGTTCAAGGACAATGTAAGGACTTTAGAACTGGGGTGATATTTTCATAGATTTAGTGAAAAGTTCTGGATCATCTGCATTTGTCTGACTGATTTTTTTAGGCAGGCCTGTTGCAGTAATCAATGTGACTAAAGATAAACACATTAATTTCTTAAAGATATTTTAAGATCTTGTTGGGACTATAAATGTTCTTCAGGTGATAAAAGGCCAACTTTGAAACTGTCTTTATGTGTTTTTGAAGGTTCACGTCTGAGTCCATCACTGTGTCCGGATTTCAGGGTTGATCATTAGTTTCTAGCTATAATAACTGAAGCTGTGTTGAATCTAAATTGTTCCTCTTTTGGTAGAAAAAATATTTACTTCGGTTTGTTTCTGTTCAGATGAAGAAAGTTCTGGCACGACCACAAATTGATTTATTCTGTTGATCTGCTCAGTGTGTGAAACTTATCTTACTGCTTATAATAATTTACACTAGTGGAAGCAAGTTGATGCTACAAAACAAACTATAAGGGAGAAGAGTAGACGATGTTCTGGTCAGAATAAAAATGAACTTTTTAGGCTGCATGATGTGGCAGAAAACTCATACAACGCTTCATCCTGATTTATTTTATTGTTGTCATGTCATGTCATGTCATTCCAACATTTCCCAACAGGAACAGAGAAGCTTGTCATGGATGGAGATCAATGCAACACTGATAGGAGCTGCAAAAGACAGGTTTGGATCAAAGCTCATTGATGTTTTAAATAATGTTGCAGGGCTCAGAAATTGATGTTATCAGACATTATCCCTTCATTCTGATTATTAGCTGTATTACAGTAAAGAATAGGAAGAAATTTTACATGGTGAATTTACGAAAAGATGAACTCACCACGCTTTCCAGATTTATAAATTATCGCATTTATGCTCTATAATGCATTACTTTGTCAGATTCCAGTAAAATATACATTGTGTAAAAACATTGAGTGATTATGAATACCACTTCATCTTAAAGAGTACATGTATGTTGAAGATGAGTGAACACACAAGGTGATTGCAGGGGTAATAATATTTCCTGGCA